GTATGTGGTGCTGAGGATCGAACCCGGGCCGCACGCATGCCAGGCGAGCGCGCCACCGCTTGAGCCACATCCCCAGCCCAACACCTTTGTTTTATATGTGGTGCTGGGGATCGAACCCGGGCCTCATGCACGCCAGGCGAGCTCGCTACCGCTTGAGCCACATCCCCAGCCCCGGGTCCTAAATTTGAGGCCAGCCTGGGCAATTTTGCAAGACCTCATCTCAAAAAAGAAAACGAAAAAAAGATAGCAAATTTCTCTACTTTTCATTTCTTCTCTATGCAAATGTATTACTTATGAAAGTAAAATGTTTTTGAAATTAAACTAAACTGCTATCTTTTCCTGTTTATGTAGGGCGTCCCTAGTGCTTAGAATCTGAGAAAAATGGCAAATATGGATAATGATTCTAGACATCTTCTCAACTCTGAAGTAAATCATGAAATAAATCCTGGACCTATGAATATCCAGTTTGAGTCATCAGATCTAAGATCTAAAAGGTAAGAGTTTAAAATAATTTTTCATATTAGAGTTTTTAATGACTAAAATATAACAAATTATAATCAAGTGTATATGAATTTGATTATAAGATACCTAATTTCTTACAGGATTTGTATGTATATTTTCTGGGAGTGTGACTATTATCTCCTCATACATAAATAAAAATAAAAATAATTTATTATTTATTTATTTATTTATTTTTGACTTAACATTTCTGTTGGGGAAAAGAAGGATTGGAGTAAGTTTTACAAAGTAAGATGTATATCCCAGGTGCTAGAGATAGAACAATAAAAATAATGGAAGCAGTCTTTACCTTCACTGAACTAAAATGTCAGCAGATAATTTAAGATAATTTTGAGTTTAAATTTTATTTCAGTTTATATCTGGAAAACCCAGAAGAATCTTCTTTTTTTTAATATTTATTTTTTAGTTGTAGTTGGGCACAATATCTTAATTATTTATTTATTTTTTTATGTGGTGCTGAAGATCAAACCCAGGGCCTCACCTGTGCTAGGTGAGCACTCTACCACTGAGCCACAACCCCAGCCCCATACCAAGAAGAATCTTCTAAAATATATATATATATATATATATATATATATAGAGAGAGAGAGAGAGAGAGAGAGAATTCAATAAAGTAGTTGCTTACAAAATACGCAAAAATGAATAAACTAATGAGAAAATGTAATGGAAGAAAAGAGAAAATACATTGAAATAATCTTAACAAGAATGTGCAAAATTATGAGAGGAACTTTAAAATGATACTCCTGAGGGATGTAAGATAATATTGAGTGTATTTCATGAAATTCGAGATACTACTGATTATAAATTGCATTTTAAAAAATATAACACTAAGAAAACTGCTGCCAGTAGCTCTGATGCAGTAATCTTTTAGAACTTAAAATTTTGTTTTGTATTTATGGAAAGAACTCTTAGACATAGTTGGTATTTTATCATTTTATCTCATGCAGTTATAAAAACAAAAATACGAAGTGTATCTGTTAAGATATTACTTACACATCACATTTAGAATCTGATTCTTCTGAATCACTTTTTGACTTGGAATCATCAAAATTGGAGTTTTCTTCCCCCCTCCCAGAATTGTTCTTTATGCCATGAAGAGCCTTGATTATGTCACATTTCTTGATTTTCTTCCAAATTACTTAGGACACTGGTTTTGCATTTTCCTAATCTTACCAGAAGATGTCACAAGAGGTTTTCTAACAACATGATTCACGTTTCTTCCTCCAATGGTCCTTAAATGGTTTGATGACTGAAATGACCAGGGATGGCATTTATCTGTCATGCCATCAGGAATAGTTACTGTCACGTAGTCTGCTGACTAACTAATTAAAAATTGTTTTAGATTATGAGATACATCCTTATTTATAAATTTTTGTGTATATTAGAATTAGTAAAATATGACATGATGAAAAGACAGATTCTACTCTCAATGTAAAGGCTCTAAAATAAAGATGCCATGCTGTTTACATTTTAATCCATAAGTTCAATGTGATTCCTCTTCCCAAATGCCAGCAGCCATTTCCAAAGTTTATATGGATCAGAAATTTCTCTTCTAAGCACTAATTCATAGTATCAGATGACACATGTATAAGGTAGTTTAGTGTAGTCTTTTTTATAGTAGCAGAGATTGAAAGTATCCAAAATGTCTTTTCTTACAGGACTCAATAAATTATGGCATATTCATACAATGGAATACTTTTATCCTATTAGGAGGTGGTTTTATTACATATCAAAATGGAATAAGACTTCAACTTTTTAAGTGAAAAAGGTACAGTGCAGAGCAATATGTATAGTATGCCTCCATTTGGGTAACAATAAATTAATACATTACATATAATACAACTTGTATAAATAAAATCTGAGGAAATAAATAGAAAACTAAGAGTGATGCCACCTTAGAGAGAAACCAAATGCTTGAGGTGGGGTCTTATGGCAGATACTGTAGGTTGATACCCAGGAATTATTCAATGCCCCCTTCTCTTCCCTGTCAACAAAATCCTAATTTGGTTAAGAGCTGCAGTAATTACCAATATAGGAGATGGAGAACTGGTTTAAGCTAATCTTGATAATTTTGTTTCTGTTTTCTAGTACTCAGTTTTTTAGTCTTGCATCTAGAGGTGGCAATGTGAAATTTATCTCAGGAGAAAATTATCATTGCCATTCTTAGTGGCCATCAAAAAAGATAATGAGGCCTGATGCACATGCCTGCAATCCCAGCGGCTTGGGAGGTGGAGGCAAGAGGATCCCGAGTTCAAAGCCAGCCTCAGCAATTTAGCAAGGCGCTAAGCCACTCAGTGAAATCACCCTGTCTCTAATAAAATACAAAATAGGGCTAGGGATGTGGCTCAGTGGTTGAGTGCCCCTGAGTTCAATCCCTGGTACCAAAAAAAAAAAAAAAAAGATAATGAAATTAATCTTGTGATTTGCACTTCTGTGTTCTAACATCAGGGAATATAAACATTAATGTATGCTGACTCAGTGCTTAGGGTCTTCTTTAAACCTCTAAATTCTATGATAAATAATTGACTACTGTGACAATAGGACATAGGTCATTAATGTACATTCTATTACAATAAGTTGTCAAGAGTTCAAACAGTTCTCTGAAAATTTGGTTAACAGGGTAGATTAGATGGAAATATATTTTCTATAATGAAATTGAGGCCCCACCTCAATTTTCTATAAAGAAACTTGTCAAAATGAAAAGGCATCAACTATTTATGAACATGGCATAACTACCTAGGTAAGCATGTTTGTTTTATTTTGTTTTGTTTTGTTTTTGTAGTGCTGGGAATTGAACCCGGGGCCTTGAACATGCTAGGCAAGTAGATGAGCTATATTCCCTATCCCTAGGTAAACATGTTTTAAGGAAGGTAGATACACACAGGAACTTAATAATCCTGAGTGCTAATTTGCTTGTGAAATAATTTGCTTACAAAAACATAAACTATTTGATGAGAAAAAGAAATGTGAGTATCATAAAAAAATGTTTCTGTTAAAATATGGATTACTTTGGAAATATAAATAAAACCAGACACATTGAGGGGAAAGTATTTTTCATTAGAAGACGTAGTTTAGACAACTATTTATAAAACTTAAGTCATTTTAGAGTCATCTTACTACTTGGGTATATATGAGTACCACCTGTATAATATAACTTGATGTTTCTTAAAAATCTATTTACTTTTTAAAATTAGGATTAATCTAGTTTATCACATATTTGTGAACTGATGCATCAGAAGGTTATATATACCTTTTTCTAGTGTGCATTGCAGCAAATACCAGCTAGCTAACATAACATTCATCCTTGTGCTCTCTAAAATCATCTTTCATATTACCATACTTCGGAAACTTTCTTGCTTGTCAAAGTACAGAAAACATTTGATACTTGTAGATTACTTAGCCTCACCGTAGCATGTGGTTTTCTATCTCTTCCACTAGGTGGCAATCAAAATTTTATATCTTCAACTATAAAGAATTTTAACAACTGCTATGGACTGCTGGATCTGCTTCTCATTTTGGTGAAACTGGGGTCTGACCTTAAGTGGAAGAAGGAGCTTGTCCTTCTAGAGGAATTACATAATCATTTGGATCACTTGGGGAACGTTTTTACACTATGAAGGTTCACTTCTTACTCAGCATGGTTCCCTTCCTTCTTCAAATTTTTTACCTGGTTTGAGGTGTGGGATGAGTTATATGGTTGGAGATAGAAAGGAAGGTTTAAAAGTATCCCATGTGAATTTGATATATTTCACTGGCAATTACCAGTCTAAGAAATTATTTTCCTACTTTCCCCAGACCACTGGTAACCAAAGATAGAACTGGTTTCAGGATTGCTTCATTTTCTACTGTTGCTCTGGGACCATGCCCTGGGGCAGTTGACCATTCCAGCCAGCCTACAAACAAATTGTGAAATGGTTAATTGGGTTTTGAGTTTTAGTCTTTTTAGTCTTCCTGTTTACTCTTTCCCCACTTTTCTTTGGGCCTAGAACTTTGCATTTCCTTTTCTGTATGCCCAATATTACCCAAGGCAGGTGTTTACTCAGGAGTGCTTTGTATACCATACTTGTCTTCTGCCCCTTGTTCACCAGAACTTATCTGCCCTGTTTTTCTAGGACTCTGTTGTCAGCTTAATGTTAGAATGCAAAACAATCTGATGTGTTAGAGACTTAGTCTATTACCTTCCTGTGGCTATTTGCATTCTAAAATAGAGAGTCCTGGATATATAAAATCCCAACCTAAAGGTTCAAGATTTTTCTAATTGGTAACATTTCAAATGCTTTGATAAACCATTTTGAGGTAAAGGAGATATTTAAAATAGATAGCATTCCTCATGCCCTTCAAACATACAAGGTATGCTACGACTTTTTTTTTTTTTTTAATATCAACTAGTCTATGCATTTGTAAACTGTTCTCTGTTTCACCTGCCATGAATACCAGCACTGTAGAGCAGCCTGAATTGACTCCTTTTGGTATTTGTAGCCCTTAAAAAAAAAAAAAAACAACCAACCAACAAACAAACAAACAAACAAAAACAAAGAAGATAAGACAAAGGAGGTTTATTAAGGCGAAGTGAGGAGTTCATCTAGTAATAGGTAAAGGTAGAATTTGATTGGAAGCAACTCATTCCCCACATTATCCAAATGATTATGTCATTCCTCTAGAAGGACAAGCTCCTTCTTCCATTTAAGGTCAGACTCCAGGCTTATTGATTTTATAGTTGGTAGTTATATAGATAAACAACAAAGGATGGAAACATTTGAGCTGGGAGTATGGTGTAGCTCAGTATTAGAATGTGTGCATAGTGTGCTCTTGGTCCTGAGTTCCATCCCCAGCACCAAAAAAAAAAAAAAAAAAAAAATTAAGAGAAAAGTTGGGTTTTTTTTTTTCTTTTTCTTTTTTGGAGGTCTGATCTTATTTGTTTATTATTCTTAAAAATTCTAATTTTTGACTGGTCTCAAACTTAAAAGTAGAAACC